GCAACTTATAATTTCAAATAAACCATATGCGAAAATGTCTAGGTATATGATATGTTATTCTATTCAGACTGTCATTTTCTATCGAATAAAGTAAAAAAATACCGAGGGTGCCATTTAAAAATTTGAATACGTCAATCAATCCTAATTTATGTCATATACTAACATTCCGAATCTCGTTTTCTTGCCTAAAAAAATAAAAAAGTTATAGGGGTGAGCTATTTTTGAGACGCACAGGTAGACCGCTTTAAGAAAAACAGATTTGATTTCAATCTGTTGTCTGAGAAAAGTCCATATGCCAGAAACACAGAATCTATCAAAAAAAAATTGAAAATCATAGAATCACATCAATAAAAAAAATATGTATTATGTATGCTACATATATAACTGCGAAAAATGAAGTAATTCTCTAATAATTCCAAAAGAATATATATGAGGTAAAAAGTGAAATCAGATTCTTATGTAATATTTAGTATACTAATTGGGTAGAATTATTAAGAATTAGTGTCAATGAATAACGGAGTCAAACTAAACCGGTTTAAAAATTCCAAAAGAAAATAAGAAATAATTATATATTTGGATTTTTTCATTTGCAGATTGACTAATAGGAAGTATGACAATACAAAAAACAAAAATTCCAACGCCATTTAAAACTAATTATTCAAAATGTAACACGTCCTCATTACAAGTAGTGTATAAATAATGACCAACGACTTTCCAAAAAACAACAAATATTAAGTATTTTCAAAGTTGGTGTTTCCCAGAGTTACTTCTATATGTATACTTTGGACAGAATGATAAATTTGTACGGTCGTGGACTTTGAGAGAAATGTAAAATCAATGTGAATCATTTAGAGTAAAAAAATTGGAAAACTTGCACTATTTGATTAATTTGCGCTTTCTTCATTTCCAGGTTTTCAAACATAACCTCAATCTACTGCAAAATGCATTGTAGTCACGTTCAACACGGCTTAAAATATAGTACTATACCGGGTGTTTTTCAAAACCCCTATAACTTTTTTATTTTCAGATAAAATAGCGGAGATTTCGTTTGTTGTACCTATATGATATTTCAGCATTTAATCACAAGAATAAGTAGTAAATAAAAGTGGAAATACGAGAAAACATATATAATTAGTTAATTCTAAGTGAAATTTATAATAATTGATTGTTTTAATACACGTAACATATATTACATAGTTACTTGCTTGTGCAAAGTTATTTCCTTATTTCTCTCAATTTTTGACCGAGATCTACCTACCTTAAAATTTTCATGCATTTTAAAGTTTTACATATTGTGTTTTCGAGGACCGATTTCGATGATTTTTTAAGCAATTTGTAGCTAAATTATTTGACTTTTTAGTATCTCTTTCTAAATTAAAAATGAAAGTTGGCATCTGTACGAGGGAAAACAAAATGTTCATGTTTTGGTGAAAGCTTGAAACACCCTGTGGAGTACCGTTAACGAAGCAAGGAATTTAAGAATAATATTACCATCTAGGTGTACCTTTTCTCGATAATTTGTTTTTTGATTCATCTCAATAATTTCTTTTTGAGATATTCGCTTTTGAAGAAGACACTAACATTTTTTCGTATTTTTTTACAATAAAACCGTGCCTTTGCTTTTGGCCCTAGTCAACAGACCTATAAAATAGCATTTATGATTTATGTAATGTTACTGACTTTGAAAAATCATATTATTATTGTCTGTTGGGCAGTTACTCTAGCTGATATGGTTAACTCCAAAACTTGATCTCTACCATGATCAATTAAAGCAGCAATAGCTCAAGAGCTAGTACTTCAGAACTTAAAATCATCCCTACTAGAGTAAACATCAATAAACAACGATATTGTGACTTTTCAATGACAGACACAAAAACAATAAATACACAATAGTATATTAAACAACGAGTTTCGAAAACGGCGTTTTGCACATGAGTTCGACAGTTTGTTGGCTCGAGCCGCAGGCAAGAGCCATAAGTCGAACGAGTGTACAAAGAAGTTTTTGAACGAGTTTTTTACGCTATTTTTTCTACGACTACAAATTAGCAGCAGACTGACTCAGTTTTTGCCAGTTTTGTGGAATAATTTGCGATGTAATGATGACACTTTTCTGACGGCTGCGTTGTGTTTGGCGTTTCACCCATATACATATAACTTTATATACTCAGCCTAATCTCTAAAAAGTGAAGCCCAAACAGTGAAAGAGAAATATGGAATTCTGCATAAGTCTATTTCACCCGGATAGTCACTTAATTGCGCATGCCTTACCTGAAGAAGTTTTCATTGGTCCGTGTTTTTAAAGGGAAGTGGTTGACTGACATTTCACCTAACCTTCAATTTTATTTATAATTTTATTATTTATAACACATTATCATGGAGTTGGAAAAATATCAAAAAATAGTTGGAAACAATAAACTAAACAAAATCACTCTTTTACACGTACAAATAAAAAGTAATCCAAACAGAACTAAAACTACAATCAATCGGAGTTTGGCGCAATCGCAGTTCAATCGATATCCGGGTGAAATAGACTTATGCAGCATTAATATGGAGCTGAGTTATGTTGTCTTTTTCTTACGGCACGGAAACAGCACACGGGGTTAAATAGGGAACACTGAGTATACAGGGTGTTTCAAAACAAATGCGAAAAACTTCAGGGGGTGATTCCTTGTTAAAAATAAAAGGTAGTTTGCTTTATAAATGTTGGGTCAAAAGTCAACCATTAGGGAGATATCGCGGAACAAAGATGGCGGAAAAATAATGTTTTTATTTTTTATCTTGAAAACGAAAAGCGATAGACTAATGAAATTTTATAGAAGCATTACTGTTATAAAAACACACTTTCTGGTAATTTTTTACTTTTTTAAAATGAGTGGAAGGGGTTGAAATAAACTACCCCTATCATTCTTGTTAACGAAATTTAAAGAAAAATCTTATCAAACACATGCAAGATGCATTAATTTAGATAGTTTAGTTGATTTAGAAACTTTTTATCTCTTGTGTTTTTTGATAAAAGTCACCGATTTGAAATTAAAAAATAAAATGTAAAGCATTACGTGTCAGGACAAAAAACATTTTTTAGATAAAGAATCTAGTTGGCTGCTGTAATTTTCTTAGGAAAAAATCTAGTCGACCGCTGTCACTTTTAGGATGTTTCTAATATTATTTAATTTGACATACTCTACTGCAATACGTTATTATCTTACGATCAATTAATTATTCCGAAGCCTTTTTTCTTTATCTAAAAATGTTTTCTGCCCTGACATGTAATGCTTGACATTTTATTTTTTAATTTCAAATCGGTGAGTTTTATCAAAAAAACGCAAGAGATAAAAAAGTTTCTAAATAAACTGAACTATCCAATTACTTTTTTGCATGTGTTTGATACGATTTTTCTTTAAATTTCGTTAACAAGAATGATAGGGGTAGTTTATTTCAACCCCTTCCACTCATTTTAAAAAGTGAAAAATTACCAGAAAGTGTGTTTTCATAACAGTAATGCTTCCATAAAATTTCATTAGTCTATCTCTTTTCGTTTTCAAGATAAAAAATAAAAACATTGTTTTTCCGCCATCTTTGTACTGCGATATCTCCCTAATGATTGACTTTTGACCCAACGTTTATAAAGCAAACTACCCTTTATTTTTAACAAGGAATCACTCCCTGAAGTTTTTCGCATTTGTTCTGAAACACCCTGTATATAGTTATATGTATATGGTTTCACTTAAATATTGGAGGTTAAAAAGGTTAGAAATTGACACATGTTGTGTGCACTAAGAGTAAGCGTTGAACACAAAAATTGCACACTACAAAATTTGCGCACGGTGTGTGAAAAAACGTCACTTTCAGATTGACTTTAGCGTGCGTAGAAAAAAACAATAAATACAAACAATAATAACTAAACGTTCTCTAAACCTGTGTGAGTACATATTATCAAAGCAAAACCTCTGAAGGCGGGTAAGGGGGACAAATAACTCACAATGAGTTAGAGTGTGTGAGTTTATGTGTGTGATTTTGTGAGTTATTTGTCCCCTTACCCGCCTTCAGAGGTTTTGCTTTGCTAATAAATACTATTTTTATAAGTGTGTTGATGAGGACCCAAAATCAAAGCTAAAATTCAGGGTTGGCATGATTTGCAAATGATTTTAAATCATGATTTAAATCAAGGGATTTTTTTAATTTTAATCATGTGATTCAAATCAAAAAATCAACTTTTTTAAAATACTTTACAATAAATATTTGTACACTCGTTTAAATTAACGCTTAATATCAGTTTAATAATATATTTTTGTACTTTTATGCTTAGGCGTAAAAGTGCTTTACTTTTATGCCTACGCGTTGAAATGACAAAAATTAACACTCTTGTGACAGTTGAAAAGAAATCCTTTTGATATGGAACGAGCGACTTTTTTAGGGGAATATATTGGTGAGCGATGTAGGAAAATGACAACGCGCTGTAGAATTGTTAACGTATCTGGTAGAGTTATGAAGATTTAGCCATTTAGGATAGGACTTTAAATGCAAATAAGTCTTAATTGTTTAAAAATCCAATTTAAATGTTTTCGATTAAAATCAAAAAAATCATATTTAAATCAAAAAAATCTGATTTAAATAAAAAAAACTGATTTTTTTTTATTTTTTTAAAAAATTATGATTTTTTCCAACCCTGCTAAAATTGCTGTAAATCGTTACTGTCTTATTCAAAAGCTGTAAATATCTGCAATCAAAAAATAAAGCTAATGAGATGAGCCAAAAAACAAACTATCGAGAAAAGACGTACCTAGATGATAAAATAATTATTAAATTCCTTGTTTTGTTAACATATTCCACAGGGTGTTTCAAACTTTCACCAAAATATCAACATTTTGTTTTCCCTCGTATAATTGACAGATGGAAATTTTCATTTTCAAACTTAGTATACGTAAAAACTCTATGTTATAAAAACGGCAATGATTTTGCGTGCAAAGTTTTATATTTAGTACACACGTTGTTTTTTTCAGGGCTTGTCAGGACCATGGAAGGACAATTTAAGGAAAATCGAAGAGCAAATTTAAAGCTACATCTTCATAAACACATAACAAATACAATAGACTTTAGGCAATTAGTTTAATAAAACTACAAAATCTAAACTAATAATTACCAAAGATTTTCAATGTATCTAGATTAATTAAGACCCAATTTATTTTATAACTGCCATATTTAAGTTCTACGCATATTTCTTAATACTAGTCAAAGAAATTTACCTATTTATTACAACTATTAATACATAGATTTACATTAAACGAGATAATATAATAAAATTTAGTGCCACAACAGTAAACGACATAAACCAATACCAAATTATCTAGTCAAAATTAAAGTCATAATATCTTGCTCAAAATAAGACAGTTAAATAAAATAGCCGTATTTTTGAGATGGCTGTGATAGCTCTTCCCTCGATTGCTGCAGCAATTAAGACGGGTGTAGCACTAATTGGAGCGGGAAAAATTGCAGTGTTGCCATTCCTGATAGCAGCAATTACATATTTCCACTATGATCAATTTGATCCCGAAAATCGACCGGTAAGTTTTTTACGTAATAGTTATAACAGTTAAACATTAAAGGTACATTCAGAGCGTCGAGCGTCGCGTCCGCGTGTCGAAATGGAATCAATTCACTTAACTTAAATTAGACTGTTCAGGCAGACAGCGTCGCGTTTGGCGTTGCGCTAGCGTCCGCCGAGCGTCGGGGTTCGAGTTCAATGGGGCGGACGCGACGCTCGACGCTCTCAGCCTGAATGTACTGTAATCCTTTTATATATCGTAGTTTTAGTGACTCCAAAATAGTTAAATTTGTTTTTTATTTGTTGGATCTGGGTAAAAACAAAATTCTGGTTTTGTTTATTTAGGATTGGTCGACGTTTCGACAAATATATTGTTTTCCTCAAGATTACACTTATTTAAAATTTAAAACCCTCCATCACTTTCCTTAAATATATTCCCGTATAGGCATCACAGTTCCCTCTCAGAAACCAAATATTGCCAAAATTTAAAATCTCGGAAACTCTAGAAAACGTTAATTTCTTTCCAAAAATTAGCCCAATAGCGTGTTTTTTCTTCTTCTTCTCCTTCTTTGTAGATTAGAACCAAGTCCTGTGTTTTCGTGAAAAATGCCCTATGAACAGTTGGGATGATGAAGACCAGCTTTCATACCATTTTATAAGTGGTCGTGTCATCCAAGCTGTCGAGGTGTGTTAGGACGTGTTTCCTTAGCAATTTTCGCTAATCGGTCATCCGGCATTCTGTTTACACTCTCTTTAATATTTTCACACAACAGTTCTTTTATTTATAATATTTTTTTAAATAACGGCTGAAATGTGAACAACTTATAAGCTTGCTTCATCTACGTAACCGTAGATGGAGATCAAGCAAAGTAGGGTTCTATACAAAATAAAAATAGTATACAGGTAAGTAAAAAAGCTTTGACCCCTAAAAGTGTACTAATTTCTGCATTAAGTTCATTCTGTCCGAAGTAAACAACCATCCTACTAGTGATGGGCATTATGATTCTTTGAATCGAATCACACGATTCATTTTCTCATATTGAATCGGCTCCTATGATTCGTTCATTTTAACGAACCACATGCATAATTTATATTTCATAAAAACAAGAATCTAACTAGCACTACAGGCGATAATTTGGCCGGATAATTACTTAAGGGACAAGAAAAAGAAATATACAGTTCTTTCATTTGTTTTTTAACACTTTCTGGCACTGGCGCAATTGGATTGATTTTTTATTTTACCAATAATATTAAATTATCAATCCAATTCATATATAAACTATTTATTAAAGACTTCTTAATACCAATTTAATATTTTTAGAGCCATATATTAATTCTGATTTAATAATCATAATAAATCGTAGACAATCGCAAGTCAATCGCATGATCGAAAAGAAAAAATGGCGTCCAGTTGGCTTGGAAATGAACATCGATGACATTCCCCATATAATTTTACATATAAAATGACAGCGATCTATATTTTATAACCCTCGCTGACTCCTTTTTTTATCATATTGAGCAGAGACCAACAATATTTATTTGGAGTTGCATAAAAACACGATTTCGTCTTTTAGTCCGACATTAATTTAATGGTTTATAGTCGGTAATATATTATTTTAACAAAAATACTAACGTGAACATTAAATACCTTACAGATACTTATATGATGACAGATACCTTACAGAAAAAAACTTATTTATACTGTGTGCTTAGTACGGGACTAAACACAGTATAAATAAGTTTTTTTCTTGTAAATAACTTTTTTGTCGTTTGCATTTTATGCCCATGATGCTTGTTTAGGGCTTTTGTTGTCTAAATATTGGTGCCTGACTCATGCTTTTATCACGCCCGCCGCGTTGTAGAAACGAACGATCGCATTGTGATCCGATTCAATTCTCACGACTCTTTTTTACGGCTCATAGTTCAAACCTTATGGATCCGTGCTGGCCACGATTCAATTCAACGAACCGTATTGTAAGCAATTAATCAATTCTCATGACTCTTTGAACGAACGATCGCATTGTGATCCGATTCAATTATCACGACTCTTTTTTACGGCTCATCGTTTAAATCTTATCGATCCGTGCTGGTCACGATTCAATTCAACGAACCTTATTGTAAGCAATAAGTCATTCTCACGACTCTTTGAACCAACGATCGCATTGTGATCCGATTCAATTCTTACGACTCTTTTTTAAGGCTCATCGTTCAAATCTTATGGATCCGTGCTGGTCACGATTCAATTCAACGAACCTTATTGTAAGCAATGAGTCATTTTCACGACTCTTTGAACCAACGATCACATTGTGATCCGATTCAATTCTCACGACTCTTTTTTACGGCTCATCGTTCAAACCTTATGGATCCGTGCTGGCCACGATTCAATTCAACGAACCGTATTGTAAGCAATGAATCAATTCTCACGACTCTTTGAACGAACGATCGCATTGTGATCCGATTCAATTCTCACGACTCTTTTTTACGGTTCATCGTTCAAATCTTATGGATCCGTGCTGGTCACGATTCAATTCAACGAACCTTATTGTAAGCAATGAGTCATTCTCACGACTCTTTGAACCAACGATCGCATTGTGATCCGATTCAATTCTTACGACTCTTTTTTAAGGCTCATCGTTCAAATCTTATGGATCCGTGCTGGTCACGATTCAATTCAACGAACCTTATTGTAAGCAATGAGTCATTTTCACGACTCTTTGAACCAACGATCACATTGTGATCCGATTCAATTCTCACGACTCTTTTTTACGGCTCATCGTTCAAACCTTATGGATCCGTGCTGGCCACGATTCAATTCAACGAACCGTATTGTAAGCAATGAATCAATTCTCACGACTCTTTGAACGAACGATCGCATTGTGATCCGATTCAATTCTCACGACTCTTTTTTACGGTTCATCGTTCAAATCTTATGGATCCGTGCTGGTCACGATTCAATTCAACGAACCTTATTGTAAGCAATGAGTCATTCTCACGACTCTTTGAACCAACGATCGCATTGTGATCCGATTCAATTATCACGACTCTTTTTTACGGCTCATCGTTCAAATCTTACTGATCAGTGCTGGCTACGATTCAATTGAACGAATCGTATTCCAAGCAATGAATCGAATCTTACGATTCATTTTTAATACTCGTTCAAATGAACGACTCGTTCAATCTTTGTCCACCTCTACGTCCTACTTTGCTGGATCCTTCGATTTATGATGATCTTCAGATCAAAGGATCCAAAAAAAGTCGGCTTGATGATGGGAATAAATTCCCGAAACCCGTTGTACCCGTTGTTGTATCTGCGAAGCATTTTTCCCAGACGTTCGTTTTAAAGCAGCGTATCTCCAATACAAACAGAGATAATGTCGTGATCTTTGAATAAGAAGACTAAGGAAGGAGCATATCAAAAATCTTAGGTACACCGCGATGGGCCTCAAATATGGCCGACTTAAATTCCGGTTTATCAGTGTCGTTCTAATTTTATTTAAAAAATGTGAAACTATGATGTAGGGTAGACGTGGGATAGACTCAATAATTTGTTGTTTTATTTTACGGCGTGAATAAATGTTGGTAGTTATTAAAATTGTTATAAAAATATATAATTCTAATAAAAATAGATAAGTTATAATAAGTATTTATTAACACAAACATCCGATACGCTACTGAAGCAAGTCAAATTAACGTATCTAAATTCTTTGACATCTAATCTTTGACAAGTAATAAATAAAAGCTAAAATGCAAGAAAAATATATAATTTAGTTAATTTAAGTGAATTTCATAAATGATCGGTTTACTAAACGTATGTATATTATATAGTCCCTTACTAGCAAAAAGTTGTTCCATTATTTCACTCAATTTTTGCCGAGATCTACCGAACGCTACACAACCAACTATTTTATAGTCTTTTTTGATAAATCGCCATAGTGTCACTGTTAATTTAAGTTCTGCCACAATTTCCATCTAGATTTACTACCTTTATACAACTATCAATAGTAGAATAAATAATAAATAACATAAAATAAGCTCCGTAAAGACTGACAAATCCACAAAATTTCAAATCAAATTCAAATGTGTCAAATGAATCGTCAAACAGAACTGTCAAGGATCCCCACCCTAGAGTGCTTTTATGGTGCTTTTTCCGCCCACCATGCATGAATACATGGATAGCATTATGCTCCTTCCTTAGTCTTCTTATTCAAAGGTCGTGATTAAAAAAACAAAATGCTCACAAAAGATGAGGCTACAATGTGATTTGATTTAGCAATAGCTACTACAGCTGCTTCGTGTTATTGTTGTGCCCTGCATATGCTCAAAATAAATTCGGAATAAAAATTTCTGACGTAGCATCCGTTAAGAAGGAATTAATTTACAGTTTTAAAAAAATCATCAAAATTTAATGAGCGGTTCGCGAGAAATCGAACTTTGAAAGTGGGACTAGTTTTTAGTGGCCGTTTTTTTTGCGGGTAAGTGTATTTTAATTTAATAATTTCCCTGTTTTAGGTCGACAGAGACCCAGATCCATCGTACGACTTCGTGGTGATCGGTGCTGGTTCTGCCGGATCGGTCCTCGCTAACCGACTGTCCGAAGTACCGCAGTGGAAAGTGCTTCTACTCGAGGCGGGAGGCCATGAAACTGAAATATCGGACGTGCCAATCCTCAGTTTGTACTTGCACAAGAGCAAATTGGATTGGGGTTACAAGTGAGTCTTAAACTGATAATAAAATTATATGCCGTGATCTACGTAGCGTATTTCCCAGCGAAATCGAAGTTAGGAAATCAGGAAAAGTTTCTATATTAGGTACTTACTTGAACACGGAATAATTCTTCTACGTCTCATTATTTGTTGCAGTTGCAAAATACTTTGGCTTACCTGAAATTAAAAATAAATGTTAATATACAAAGTCTGTTCACAAATTAGTTTTAGTTATAAGAGGGTTGTCTTTTATATTTTGCATATTGGAACATAGTAGGCTGTCAACATACATATATCAAATGTCAAAATAACTGTCATGTTTAGTTAACTTAATGCTTTAGACCGCTTAGTTTAAAGCTGTATCTAAACTGAATTTTTGTAGTTGACGAGTTAGTCGAAAAATGGAATTAGACCGAGAAAAATTTTCGCGTAATATTTTGTTTACAATTTTCAAAGACATTTATTTGTCTCAACAAGAATGCATTGTTGAGTTGCTTTCTGTTGTTTTTATTTTTTCAGATACTTAAAAACGAGATTAGGTATGTTAATATATATGACATAAATTAGGATTAACGTATTCAATTGTTTTTGGTCACTTCCCGTTTCACCGGAAATGACTACAACTTTTGATTTTTAAATGGTACCTCGGTATTTTTTCACTTTATTCGATAGAAAATGACACTTTGAATAGAATGACATATCACATGTCAACTTTTGACATTTTCTCATCTGGTTTATTTGAAATTGTAACATACGGTTTACAACGACAATTTGGCTCGAAATACCAAGTATCGTAGGATTGCGGTACCAAATTATTCGTAAAAAATGCTTTTTCCAAATATGCAAACGAGCCACCCTTGTTTCATTTGAAAAATTGAGATATGATTAAAAAAACGATTTCGGCATCTTTTAACCGGCCAGGACAAGACACGAAAAACAATAGATGATCAAAACTATTTTTCCAAGGCTCCTTGATTAAAAATTAGTATTTTTAACACAACCATGGGCCATGGCACTCTAGATAGAAATTTAAAATATGATTTTTTTGTAAGCAAAAATGTCAAAAGTTGGCATATGATATATCATTCTATTCAGAGTGCCATTTTCTATCTGATAAAGTAAAAATACACCGAGGGTGTCATTTCAAAATCAAAAGTTGTAGTAATTTCCGGTGAAACAGGAAGTGACCAAAAGTCATACAAAATAACGTTTTTTTTATCTAAAAAAATTAAAAAAGTTATAGGAGTGAGCCACTTTTGAGACGCACCCGGTATAGGTATCCATTACAAAAAAAACAAAACTTTTTTTGGGGACACTGTAGAACTCAATAGGTTTGTTCCAACCCGCCGCAGAACTGTCACCGAACGATCACGCTCGTGCGCAGTAATTCAAATGTGTTCCAACCGAGATTTGACGGTTATCGGACGATCCTATTTGCGTACCAACCTACCTTGGGATCGTTTAGTTACGATTTTAGAACGGTAATTTCGGTACATGGTCCAAATTGAGAACTGTTTGGGTTGGTTGACTTGCGCATTAAAGCATATTGGCAGGGATTATCGATTTTTAATAGCTGATTCTGGTCCGGCGGCGTCCGGCTGATGCTTCTGTCGTGGTTATTTTTTACGAATTCGAATACGTGTGCGTTATATTTTTGCTTGTAAGTTTGTGTGGAGTAAATCGTTCGGAAATTTTAAATTGTACACTTTCATAATATATCTATAGAATATATAATAATTAAGGATGAGGGACGATGGTATGACTGATTTCTTTACCTCCACTTCAGATAGTGACAATTTGGAGTTGCTGCCTAGTGAAAGGGTGAAAAATGAACAATATTTAGGTAAGCTTTAATCGTATTTTCTTGTTTCCTCGAACAAAAACAAAAACCGATCGATACACGCACGCTTGACACTTTTGGCAGTTCCGAAAACAATCCATAAAGCGTTCCAACGTGGATACTTTTTGCACCATCACGAAACTATTCGAAGTCCGCGCATGCTAACAAAGTGCAAGAAAACCGATTCGAGTACGATTTCGAAACGATCCCGAAAGGCTGGTTGGAACAAACCTAATATATTCTTTCAACACCGAGTAATTTCTAAAATTAAACTAATTCATCGTTTCAGAACTGAACCTCAACCAACAGCTTGCCAAGCCATGGTAGAAAACAGATGCAGTTGGACAAGAGGAAAAGTTCTAGGAGGATCAAGTGTATTAAATACTATGTTGTACGTTAGAGGCAATAGAAGAGATTTTGATAGGTATTGTAGATATTTTGATAATTGTAGATATTTTGATAAAATATTAACTAGATTCCTTAAAAAAAAATAGATACGAAAAATGTTGGAAAAATTCTATTAAACATAGTCACGAACATATACAGGGTGAGTTTCCTACGATGTTCTCTATGGGTATCTCGGAAACTACCGAAGATAGAGAGTCGGTTAAATGGGGAAAGAATTTCAGTTTTGTGGGGTCATAAATATGCGCCTAAATTTTTTGCGATTTTTTAAAAAGTTCATGGCTTACTAGATATTTCGAAAAAAACAAATTTTGGCTATTTTAAAAATTGTGGCTAATTCCATTATAAGGTATTTTAGACAAAAAGTTTTCAGATAAAAGTTGTAGATAATCACATCCTTAATGAGACTGTGTCCTCCGTTTTTTTCTAAAGCCTGTCATTTTTGAGATATGACACAAACATGTTTTTTTAAATGGAAACCATAGCTGGCCATGACTTCATAAAAAGCGCCATTTTTTAAGCTTTTCAGCGATATAAGCTATAATATGTTTTTTTTTTCGAAAAATTACAGAGTTATAGCCAATTCTTATAATTTTTAAATTATTTCACTTAGTTAGCCATGGAAACAAGTTTAATCATCTTTGCTCTCAGAAATGTAAAGCTGTCACATCCAAACTTTGTAAATTAAAATAAACAAAATTTGTAAATATGAATTTTTCAAATGAAGAAAAGCGTGTAGGATTATTGGTTCAACCGTTGATTGAAAGAATTCAATCAACGGTTCAACTTTTCTTGCCCATACACTTTGGCCATACATTGCATGCATTTTGTTATAATGAAAGTCATGTTGGAAGCACTCTATTGATGCGCGAGTATCTACAAGCTCTTCTTTACTTGAAAAATTCATATTTACAATTTTTGTTTATTTTAATTTACAAAGTGTGGATGTGACAGCTTCACATTTCTGAGAGCAACGGCGATTGAACTTGTTTCCATGGCTAACTAAGTGAAATTGTTTAAAAATGATAAGAAATGGCTATAACTCAGTCATTTTTCGAAGAAAACATATTATAGCTTAAAAAATGGCGGTTTTTATGAAGTCATGGCCAACTATGGTTTCCACTTAAAAAAATATATGTTTGTGTCATATCTCAAAAATGACAGGCTTTATAGAAAAAACGGAGGACACAATCTCAGTAAGGATGTGATTATCTACAGCTTTTATCTGAAAACTTTTTGTCTAAAATAGATTATAATGGAATTAGAGACAATTTTTAAAATAGCCGAAATTTGTTTTTTTCGAAATATCTAGTAACCCATGAACTTTTTTCAAAAATCTGAAAGGCGCATATTTATGATCCCACAAAACTGATATTCTTTCCCCATTTAACCGACTCTCTATCTCCAGTAGTTTCCAAGGTACCCATAGAGAACATCGTAGGAAACTCACCCTGTATTACATAATAGATTTTTTTTAAATATTTTATATTATCAGTATTTAAAATAAACTATTTATAACATTTTGTACTCTTGCGTTACTATAATTCAAGTTTTTCTGTGTGACTGCATATTAATTCGATACTGTTTACAACTAGATGGGCATACTATTGGGGTAATACTGGATGGTCATATGAAGAAGTTTTACCATACTTTAAGAAGAGTGAAGATCAGCGAAACCCATACTTAGCAAGGGATGCCAAATACCATGCGACAGGTATGTTATTAGTTTCTATATACCACTATCTTTTCATGTACAAATAAGGTTGATATGAATATGTTACGGCTAAAATGGGGATAGTTTTTATAATTACGTTAGTGATGAGTAAAATTTGCCTTGGTCTTGTACAAAAAGCAAGACCAAGACCGACCTTCTTCTTCTACTTATGCGTGAGATCTAGTCGATCTGTTAGTTTTAAGGTTGCCCCTGCAGGAGTTCTTGGGAGATGAACTGATAACTGTCTTTCCATATTTTTGGATGTCTTCCCGGCTGTCTCTTACCCACCGATTTCTCTTCAAGAGCTATGCGTGGAAGCTTGTTTTCTTCCATGTGTTTTACGTGTGCGCATCATTGTCATTTTTCTTTGTCTACCCCTTATCACTACGTTCTGTATTTTAAATTACTGGTTTAATTTATTGCAAATAGTGTTTGGCCGACTTTTGCATACAATTTTAAAGGAAGCAACGCCCTGACTCGTTTGCAAGTCAGTAGATTTGTACTATCTATGTAAATATGTTTGGGTTTAGTGTTTCTCTTAAATACCCATCTACTGTTGTAACGGCTTAACATCTCAATAATTCTTTGTTGTAGGTGGATACCAAACAGTTCAAGACTGTCCTTACAATACACCTTTAGGTATTGCATTCCTCCAGGCAGGTCAAGAAATGGGATACGATATTAGGGACATTAATGGGGAGAAACAAACTGGATTTGCTTTATGGCAAATGACGATGAGACGCGGTTCAAGGTAAACAGAGTTTTAATGCCAAAAATGGAGACCAAAAAACTCAATTGAAAATTGAAACTGACAAGTATCAATAAACTTTATAAAGAGTGAGTCTTAAATAGGTGGAAATATTTTTAGGGGTGGTATATTTAATTATTTCTCGAAAAAAAAATTGAAAATTTGGAATTTTTTGGAAATTTTTTAAATTTTTAGTTAAAAAACATAATATATCCATAATATGGCAACATAGGTAGTAGATTAAAGTTACAAGAAAGAAAACCCAGAAATGATCCAGCGCTTTTCAAAATGTAAGGGAAAACTCATGTTTTTTAATTTTCCAAGTAAAATACTTCGGTTATTTTACGGATTTTCTTGAAAAAATGGCAAAGAGAAAATATCGTCCCATTGCTGCCAAAAGTCACTAACTTACTTTTTATTACTTCCGAGAAAAATGCGTCTAAAGATGAATTGCATTGCATAAAGATGTTATAGTTAGTAACTATTCGGTATTAAAATAAAACATAAATAGCCAGAAATCTTAGTTAATTACTTTTACAATCGATTATCCGCTTCAAAACATAGTTAGTGATTGAATTTGGTTGTTCGGAAAAATGTTAGTTATAATGACTTTTGGCAGCAATAGGACGATATGTTTCTTTTATCGAGATCTACTAGCCCTGAAAATATTTGCATTTATTTAAGACCCATCCTGTCTATTACAGGTCTCACCTACAAAGAGTCATTTTTACTCAGAATAGAATATGCTATTTTTTCCAAACGTCACAAATAATGTTTTAAATAACTTTAAACGTTGCAAATGATATAGAAAAGATACTTTGTAAGCAAAGACATTATAAATATAGACCGAACATCTCATTCATAAATACTCGTTGGTAGTGTATCAAACATTCCAATGTGTCAAACAAGGACAGAAGAGATAGAGAAGTCTAAAATTTCCGACCCCGGCAACTAGGCGCATTTGGATTGTTCTAATGGCCAGTGGCGTATCGTTTTTTGGAACGAATTTCATTAGTAAAGTAAAAGTAAAGTAATTAGTAAAATGTTTACTCCATATTAATATACTACATTAACACTTTTTCGTCAGATGAGTTTTGTTATAAGGTCTAATATAATAATATAATTAATATCCCACATATACTTATGTTGAAACGTTAGTAGGTAGTTTTTCGAAAATCGCTCCAACATCAATTTTCAATTTAAACTTTCAGTTAATTCTATATAAACTTTCAGTTACTTTTGAATATTTACAGGGTGACTCAGGCTTCCAGAAACAGTTCTATATTAGGTTTGTGGTTGGTGACTTTTCTTTCAATTTTTTTCAGAATATGCAGGCAATGGTAAAGCACATTTTAGACATTTTTTGTAAACATAGGTGGCCGGAACATATTTTCAAACTAAAGTTGTAGGTTTGCCATTAAATTTCCATTCCAGAAATACCTAGGGTTGCCACCTGTCCTTTTTTGAAAAAGGACAGTCCTTTTGGGAATAACTTGTCCTTTTGACTTTTTTGACTTAAAAAGTCATTTTTATTTACGTATTTTCCCTGAAAATTACCTACAGCAAACAGAAATATTATTTTCGTCCGAATTTAATTAGAGATGTTATAAAACTTATAAATAAATTTTTTCTTGTTTAGAATAGGCAACATTATTTAGAACTTCCCGTTTAATCTCAAATGATAATTTAGGTTTTAGTTTTTCCTTTTTGATCTTAAAAAGAACTTTTTAAAATTAGTAATTAGTAACGATTTAGTTAGTTCGCAATCGATAGCTTCCTGTAAAGTACTATGTAATAGTTGTTTAATCTTGTATTATTAATAACTTCCTATACCTAAAATCAATATTTAATGAGAAAATTGTGTTTTTTTGAAAATATAAGACAAGATTTGACTTTCGGCCTTCTTCTTGTATTATGATGGCTCTGATACGAGGCAATTACCTTTTAGTCTCTCAATAGAAGGCATTTATCATTAAAAGTATCAAATCTGTGTGCTACAGTATGGGATTTCTGTCGCATAATAATGAATATTACGTTTATTTACAAATCCATTACTTTTTAAAGGTAGCTTCATCAGACAATCAAATTTTAGTTAAATGTCCCAATCTTCATGAACTGTATTAAGCATATGTATTGCGGTTTAAATCACCCCGAGAATCACCCTGTATGTTGACAAAAATATTTGAAAATGTGCGTTACAATGGCTTCCATCTTATGTAAAAATTGAAATAAAAAATTGCAAACCTAAAACGTAATAGGTAAAAAAGCTTTTTGGAGGCCTGGGTCACTCTGTATATAGGTATGTATAAAACTAGTAGCCTAAGAATTATTTACAGTTCGTCCCATTCTAAAAAAAAAGGTAAACACACCGTACAAATAACTCTAGGAAGAGGTATTTGTACGGTGGTAAAAAATTGTTTAAACGAGGCCGAAGAGGCAGATATCACAGCAGATATAATAATGCAATAAAATGTAAAAAAGGGCGGGTAAACACCTTTGTTTATTTGTTGAGCAAAATTCTTTTAGAATATCGTATATAATGACCAAAATATGACGCAATTTTAAGAAAAAAAATGTCACTTTCTGGCTTATAATAAAGTTTCAAATGCAACGTTTATATTCAAATTTGTTATGATCTACAACAGTTAAGTAGTAATTGAGACGAATTATAATTCAATTACCGGCTACTACGTTCTTGTTATAATAGCTCAAAATTCAATAAATATAATTAGAAATTATTTTAATTGTGAGAGGCTCCCTTGTGGGACGCCTATGTACGGCGATTACGGGGCGGCGGAAACAATACCCACCTGTGAAAAGACAAATTCGGGTAATTTGAGCTTATTTTTCCACACATTTGACACTGTCGTACCATATTGAAAATTCGCAGATTCAAAAGTACGTTAAACAAAAGCAAAAACTACTGAATAACACTGAAAAGTTCACTTCGGACTTGATTCCGACTTCAAACACACCGTAAGCTAAACGTAGTACGCTATAACGGACCCAGGGCCGTCGCGAGGGGTGGTGGGACGGACGGCTCATTTCATTCTGGAAGACTAGCAGCGAGGTTGCCAATAGTTCTAGACAGGTTGCCAATAAGTTCAGCACATTAAACAGTAAACATGTCCTTTAATAGTAACGCATATATCCTCTGGTTAATAACATATTATTACGTATGCTTCTTTAAAAATAAATTATTAATTTAATTAAGAAATTGAGATTTATTGATATCCGGTGAAGGTTTTAAAGTCACCTTTTCTGCAAATCAAACTAAGTAGATAGGCGCAAATTTGAGATGTGGCAATGTCACCTTCTCTATCTCAGTTGGTTTTTACAGTACGTAGTCAACCTCCGATTGTTTGATCGGGTTAAAATGCAAAATGTGATATCTGTTCTTCCTAAATCTATGTTTGTAAGTAATTATATATCGGGAAATTATGATTACACTCATTTGACATTTTATGTCAGTCACATATGATATGTCATTCTATTCAGAGTGTTATTTTCTATCGAATAAAGTAAAAAAATACCGAAAGTGTCATTTCAAAATCATAAGTTGTAGTCAGTTCCGGTTAAACAGGAAGTGGCCAAAAAGAATTGAATACGTCAATCAATCCTAATTTATGTCATATACTAACATTCCAAATCTCATTTTTTTATCTGAAAAAATAAAAAAGTTATAGGGTTAGCCACTGGGTAAGCCACTTTTGAAAAATACCCGATATAGGCGCTCAGTTGGAACCGACCAAGTGTAACAAAACTAACCGAGCGTAACTATGGAATTGGACTGTCTATATACTTAGGATTCTTTTACTTATATTAAAACATTCAACAATATGAATGAGTATTCTCACCAACTTATTAATTTTAGATGTAGCACAGCAAAAGCCTTCCTGAGACCTATTAGATTAAGAAAAAACTTCCATCTATCTTTGTACAGTCACGTAACAAAAATTTTGATAGATCCCACTACAAAACGGGCCTATGGAGTTGAATACATTAAAAATGGAGAAAAACACGTAAGTCATAAATATAATATATCAATTTTTACTTATACTTGAGCTAAAAAATTTATAAATTTTAATATTAATAAATATTATAAATTATGAAACAATATATACCGTAACCGTATGATCGAAAAAAAAATCCGTCCAGATCATAGACTTAGAATAAAATATAGACTGAGCATCTCATTCATAAATAGCTGGAAGATGCGGACAGACAACGTCTTGTTATTGTTGTGTTATTGTTTTTGGCTCTAACGAGTGCGACACGAGCGATAGATAGGCTGTCTCCGTCGTAACGGTCGTTTCCTGACGGCTCTGCCGCCCAACGCAACACTGTCTTTTGTTTCTTCAGTGCACCTGCACTCTCTCTCCATTATCATAGGCGGGTATTTTTTTTAATTTTAATGAAGCTATAATTCAATTAAAAATATATCGTATTTAAACTTTTTTATATTATTAAGATTTAGGATAAAGAAAATAGTTTAATATAAAAGCAAAGTTTAGGGACTTAGAAAAAAATACGTCTTAGAGTCTAAAATGATAAAAATAATAAAGTACGTGTTATAGAAGAAATTTTAATAATCGAAATTATTTAATTTTTGAAATTGATGATAAATTATTAATTTAATAAAATATTAATTTTAGTCAAACATTTACAACTCTAATATTAATCAAAACAGGATCTATTCTATAGATATAATAGAACAGAAAGAGAAAAACTTTATAATTGTTTAATTTTTTTCCGGTAAAGTGATGTCTTATTATGTAAATTAGAAAAAACAGGAATCTGTTCCATTAAAGCAAGCTTTTAGGAAGTGAATAAAATGAAAACTACATTTATTTAACTCGTTACTGTCTTTATTATAGAGTAAATAATGGTAATGGTGACTATACTTTTATTCAATGGAAATATGCACCAAATTCAAACAAATATAAAAGGCATGAGTATAAACAGTATTACTACAGTAATATTGAACATTGGTTCAAAAATATTACATTAATATAATACAATATTACTGTAGGTATTACTGTCAACGTGCAAGCTTGTTTGAAGCTTGATGTATTTGTATGCGCTTGGTACATCTTGGCGTTGGAAAATGTATAGAAAAATTATTAAGAAAAACTAGTACGTAATGGGGAGTATATCTTGATATACAGAGTGGTCGGAATTGTATTCAGGGAAACTTTGGCAGCATAATCTGCAAATAAAATCAGTAAAAAAAATAGTATAAATTTATGTCCTAAAATGCTTCGTTTCAGAGATACAGAGTGTAGAAATTTCATTTTATTTTCGGCTTTTTTCCAAATAATTTATGAAGAATGTATTGATTAATTTCGTCCCAAATATCTTGAGAACTATACTTGTGGCTGAGTGTCAACAAGAGACCTTATTAAGTAAAAAACGTTGGAAATGTAAATTTTTCTCAGTAGTTTTATATAGATACAGACAAAAAGTATATTACTCTTCAAATAACTTAAAAATATGTAAGGTGGCGCCCCCTATTAGTAAAAGTCAAATTGACATCTAAATCTAATTTTCATGTCAAAAACTTCTCCCAAACGCCAATTTTCGTCCAAATATTGACGTCACTTCAGAAATTATTTGGAAAAAAAAAATCGAAATAAAAATGAAACTTCTACACCCTGTATCTCCGAAACGTGAAGCATTTTAAAAACTTACAAGTTCATTTTTAGAAAGCCAATGCAACATTTCTGAGTTTCAAATAAAGATAAAAAAACAGTAAAACATATAATAATAATATGTAAATTATTTTCTTGGATACATACATATATGGCAAATAATAACAGATTGTTTTATTAAAGATTTACGTTTTGCTAATTCTAAAACTATCTTCAGATTATATGTGATATTACTTAAGTGATATTACATTATAAAAGAAAAAATGAAAATTATACCTTATAATCGAAAAAACGGCGTCAGCGATGGCTATGAAATGAAGATCGCTGTCATTTTATATGTAAAATTATATGGAGTATGTATCGATGGTTTTTTCCAAGCCAACTGGACGCCGTTTTTTTCGATCATACGGTATTACAAATTAATAATAGATTAACAGTCGAGAAAAAAAAAGAAAAAACTCTAGGTAAGTACTGAATTATATTTCTCCGAACGTTGAGCGTGTTTTAAAAATATAACTTTATTGAGAAGGTAGGTAATACAGTACTAAAGTTTAACACAGGATCGTGAACAAGATTGATTCTATATAGGGATTACAAGCTTTTATATATAATTTAATGTTAACATAAGCATAAAACTATTCTAGAATATGGGTGGCTTCGTTGGCAGCTTCCATTCATGGGATGCCCATAACTCCTCCCACCGAAGACGAAAACAACGGGGCTCGCTTGTTTTCGAAGTCCTGGAAAGGGATATCTTCTTTCTTGACTTCTTCTGTCTTCTTTTGTGATAACTTCAACCGAATTTGTCTTCTTAGTTTCCATAAAATTATTATAATCAAAGTTACAATAATTAATAGTATAGTTGTGGTGGAACTCCAAGCTATGGTATGGATTGGGTTGACCACGATTGGTTTTAATTGGTTTGCCTTTTCTTCTAGGTTTTTAATATGATGTAGATCAATTGATTGGATCTTGATCTTTTCTTCAAATTTTTCTTTGGTAATTTCATCAAAGGTAATCTTTGGTAAGATGAAGGGATTTCCTTTGATTATATTTTCAGTATTCCAATATGTATTTTGAAGTATTTGAACTCCACAATTAAAAGGTACACTAACTAAACTTGGTTTAGTAATTAAGTGGTACTCTTGATTCTTACAAGTTTTTAATATTTGTAAGTCTTTTCGGCTTGGTATCACAATTATGTAATTGTTGTTTATCATTTCAATTATTGGTTGTTCTGGTACAGCCATTGTTAATTGACAATTTTGGGTCTCCACTCCTTGGATTAAGTTGATTGAACATTCATTTGTGATGGGTTGAAGATCGTTGTGGCAAATAAAGATGTTTTCAACCATCGGACATTCTTCAGGTAAATATTCTTGCATATGATGGCCCAGTACAAGGTAGGGTTGTTTAGGAATTATAATGGTATTATTTATAGGAATGGGAAATAAATGGTATAATTTATAGGTATCTTGATTGAAGATTGGAAAATGTATTATAAATATTATTTTATTGTTTATAAATTTAATTTGTAAATTTGCAACTTGATAATAGTTGTTTAAATTTTCAAAATTTATTATTTTATTTTTCCCATATAGTATTGTCAAATTAGATATAATTTTTGACATATCTTTTGCAGAAATAACAGTACTATGTAGAACATTTAGTTGTGCAAAGCTTATTGCATCTTCTAAATTGTCTAAGAATGTTATTATATTTTGACAATTTAATATAATTTGATTTATAGTATTCTGAGCTTGCAAGAATGCAGTTATGTCATTAATTGATTTCTTTATATTTGATTTTAATGTTTCAATATGTTTTTTAATTATATTTTGATTATTTATGAGTACTGAAATCGTCTCATTATAATTTTGAATAAGTTGTTTAGTTAATGACATATGTAAATTCACTTCACTTTGAAAGGAATTTTGACTATTCTGCAATTCATTTATTGCTTTATCATATTTTTCGCCATCTTCAGCGTCTAGTGTTCCAAATAGCCACTTCGATACTTTTCCGCCTAAATTTATTAAACCTCTTTTGGTTCTTGTATGTGGTTGAACATTATTTAATTTTGTTTTAGCTTCTATTATAAGATATTTGGTATGATTCATCATAGCTTTTAAATTTGGCAGATGTGTATATCGACTTATATTCATTTTATTTAAATTATGATTTATTTGATTATAAAATATTTCAATATTTTGTAATTGATTTATTATTGGTAAAACTTCAATGTAATGAATGAATGTGTGTTTTGTTTCAATAATCTTTGTATTACCTAATAGGAATGGTAATAAAGGAGTTTGAATTGGAGTTATCGTAATGTCATTGTCATTCGTCACTGTCAGACAGGTTCGTGTTCGCAGCATGACTAGTAGAAGCAACAGCAGTATTGTCTTCATTTTGTCCCTGCGAATAAGAAAACTTTTTAGGTTTCTTTAATCGTGATTTATGAATAACTTTATCTTTTGAAGTTATTATTTTCTTTCCTATATCGTCTTTTATAGATATTTTCTCATAACGTGGTTGATCTTTAGATCTTTCTGCTTTTGGATTTTTCGTATAAGCAGATTTTTCTATATTATATTCAATGGGTTCTTCACGATTTTCATTGTTTTTATCGATAATCTTCGTTTTAGTTTCTAGATTTCTTTTATAAATGTTTTTATAAATAATTTTTAATCTTTCACGTCGATCATCAATATATTTGTTGACAATTATTTCATCTGTTAAATCAAAAGGATCTAAAGCATTAAGCTTTCCATTTATTATATCAAAGGGTTTTTGTTTCGTAACGCTGTGTACAGATAAGTTATATCCTAGGATTGCATATTGCATTAACTGTTTAGGTTTTGCATTTGGATCTTTAATTTTTAGGGCTCTGTAATGTTCTATAATTGTTGAATGGAATCTTTCAACAGGGCTATTACTGTTGGGATTTCCTGGAGTCGTAAAATGTATAGCTATATTGTGTAGCTTACAAAATTCTAACAATAATGTTGATTTGAATTCTGTACCATTATCGCAAGTTATTTGGTAAGGAAGACCATGATGATTTATAAATGTTAATAAATTATCCATTACAGTTGTTGCTGTACAAATTGGTTCTAATACATAAGCTTGTCCATACCTTGAGAATACATCAATTAGTGTTAGAAATTTCACATTATGAATTTGGAATGTGTCTAAATGAATTAATTCTAAAGGCTCAGTTGGCGTTGGGCTTAAATTAAATTTTATTTTAGGTGGATTTCTATCATATTTTGTTTGTTGACAAGTGTCACAATTATTTATAAATTCAGTTAAATCTTCCTTCATTTTAGGCCAATAGTATTGTTGTTTAATTCCTAATAAGGCTTCAT